AATGAGATCTCAACCATCTGTAATGAGATCTGGTACCCTACTCCTGCCTGCAGGGATACATGTAAGCAGAACACTGTAAACATGATAAAAAGTAAATCTTTAAAAATAAATAAATAATAAGACCAAACTAAACCACTTTCTCCTGTGGCAAAGTCAGGACCAAAATTCAGAATAAAAAAAATATATTACATTTTATTTATGTGAGTGTGCAAGCATATGAAGCATGACATTCACGCTGAGGCCAGAGAATTTGGGGGAGTTGGTTTTATCTTTCTACCACGTGAGTTTCAGGGACTGAATTCATGTCCTCGGATTTAGCAGCGAGTACCTTTGCTGGCGGAGCCACCTCACTAGACCCCAAACTCAGACTGTTTTCAATCCAAGTTCAGTGTCCTCAGCTGTATTGTGATGACCTGTAAAGAATTTATCATGACTGGGCTTGCGGAGGCCAAAGTTCTCATCACGATATAAAGCTGTGGAGTATAAGCTAGGAGCGAAGGGCCACTGCCGAGAGAGAACCCTTAGGAGATACTTTTTCTTGAAGTACAATCAACACTTGAAGGGTTTTTTGTTTGTTTGTTTGTTTGTTTTTTGGTTTTTTTTAGTAGAACGAACCCAGGCCTTCAGATACACTAGGTAAATGCCCTACCACTGAGCTATCCCTCCAGCCCTAAAAAAAGTTTATTTGAAATTTAAAATGTGTGCTTATAAAACAGCCAGAATAGGCAAAAATTTTGCTTTCAAGGCAACTTTAACCAAAATTATGATAGTGAAAGAAACAGAAAGGAGAAAAGGAATAAGGGGACAGACTTCCCAAAGAAGCTAGCATAGGCATGTCTAAACATTGTCCCATGGTAACAATGGCTCCTTGCTTTGGAGAGAGGGGCTGGGTGGGGGTGATGTTGTCCTTCACATAAGGGAGGCCCCTTCCAACAAAAGCTTTCCAAAGGGACAGCATGACCTTAGGTGATTCGTTTCAAACAATGTCTTTACTCTCTGTGCAGTCTTCAGAGTTCTCAGCCTGGAATCCCACAGGCCCCAGCAAAGCACGACAGCCAACTCTTGAGCGGACCATAGAACAATGCTCTGATGATCCGCAGGCGCTCCGGGAGACCAGGCTTTTGTGTTCTCAGCCGGGCTCCAGCCACGTTTGGGAGTTGTGGGAGCAGACTGGGAAGGAAAGGAGGGGGTTCCTTCCACAGCCTCGGATTCCAGAGCATCCCAGTGAGAGGAAAAACCACGTTCAAGGCCTTCCCTACCCCCCACGACACCCCCGCCCCGCCTCGCCTCCAGTTGTGAAAGCAGAGCTAATGGGGCCAATCTGAGGCTGGGGCAGGGGAGGTAGCTACCGCTCCCTGCCCTCAGCCCACCCTTTGGGGTTCTCTGTGGGCTCACAGTCACAAGTGGGACTTCAATGATGAATTGTTTTCTTTTCTTTTTATTCTAACCACCAACTGCTTTCAAAATTAAAAAGAAAGAACAAAGAAAAGGGTCTGGAAAGACCGCTCAGTAGTTAAAAACACTGGCTACGGCTCTACCCAGATTTGAGTCCTAGCACCAAAACAGTGGCTCATGGGGTAGTCTATACGTATGCCTATTGGGTCTTTGTGGGCACCAAGGAAGCACATGATACACAAATATATAGGCAGAAAAAACACTCATACACATAAAGATATAAAAAATGTTAAAGAGGGGCTGGAGAGATGGCTCAGTGGTTAAGAGCATTGCCTGCTCTTCCAAAGGTCCTGAGTTCAATTCCCGGCAACCACATGGTGGCTCACAACCACCTGTAATGAGGTCTGGTGCCCTCTTCTGGCCTGCAGACATACACACAGACAGAATGTTGTATACATAATAAATAAATAAATCTTTTAAAAAAAATGTTAAAGAAAGAATAGAAAAAAATTGTCACAGTTGGATGTGGTTGCACACTCTTGCAAACCCAGCCCTGGGAAGGTTGAGACTAGGAACAAGGCTAGCCTAGGCTACCTAGTGAGAGCCTGTCTCAAAAACAGAGTCATCGAAGAATGGCGGCTCGTGCCTATCATCCCAGATTTGGGAGACGGAGGCAGGAGGATCCGGTGTTCTAGGTCAGCCTAAACTACATAAAAATGAAGAGGGGATCAGGGGATCGGTTAGAGATGCACAGCCTGACTACATGAAATCCCATCTCAAAACAGAAAGAAAGAAAACACAGCCACAACAAGGAGCAGTACATAAAGGCAAACTAGACGGCCCGAAGCGTTGGAGGAAAGACTAGCTTTCAGGGTGTCCAATACCAGAGAGAACTCTGTCCTTCCGAGACTTTCTTTGCTTAAGAAGGGCAATGGAGAGCTGGGGAATAGCTCAATTGCTAAAGGGCTTTGCCTAGTACACATGAGGACAATCTGTGGGAGTGGTTCTCACCTAGTAC